GGGGCTCGAGTGGTTCCGAATGGGGCCCCTTCCCGAAATAAATCTAGGCGATATAATATTTGATAAATCCTTGGGAGTCCATCAATTACAATTGGTGGGCAGCGAGGGCGGTATAGGGTGAAGTACCCCCCGGCTCCCGAAAGCCCAAGGATAATTTATTACAGGTGACTGATGAGCTCGGCCCCTCGAGATGTATTTTTTTGTGTCGCCAGCTCCCTATAATTTTTTTTATACCCTAAACCCCGTGTCACCCCCTATTTTATGATTACCAGACCCGGCCCGGGCTGCTTATTATAAATCCCAGAAAACCCTGTTTTCCGAGAGGGAAAACGTTGGCCCGAATTCTGAATATCGTTCTATACTTTTAAAAAACTAACACCATAGCGACACGTTCAAATTGAAAACCTTAATAATTAAATTTAAATGGTAATATTTCCTACTTGAAAATAATTTTTAATTATGAGTATTATTATTTTATATTAATTAATACCGAGATATCATAAATAATAAAACAAGTATAATTAAGATATATAAGGCTCTACAAGTTTGTCCATTCTCTCTCGTCGACAGTTAAACGAAGCGCTCGATTTACAGGACGTGAGTTTTTCTACCTGGTATTCCCTTATAATAATTTCAATGGGGGTTGTTACTCCATGCAATGTTATATAGAATCGATTGGTGAAGTTCGTTTGGTGGTAGGAGTAACATAAAGGCCTTTTATGTTATTTTTTGTTTTCTTGTTTCTATCCTATCCTAAACCAATTTCAAATCAACGAAGTAAAACAAAAAAAAAAAACCATAAATTTGGCATTTTAATTCCCTGCAATCTCGATATATTTTGAAAATCGATATAAATAAAATTACTCTACTTATCTACTATACTGAGCACAAGGTTTTCTTATCCTTACATTGGTATATTTAATCAATTACTATCATATACGATATATTAATCTTAAAATATTTGTAAATATATATTATAAGAAATAGAGCTTAACGATTAAACAATGTAGTATTATTATTTTTAATTCAAGTCTTTAATATTTAAAAGGTTGATTTTTAAAAAAAAGTTGATTCAATTAAGCTGTTTTGTATAAAAAAAAAAATATTGAACGATAAATGATTGTATTTTTCTATTTATTTTTATTTTTCAGCCACCGAAATTACTTGATTCTGAATGAAACAAGTAATTTTCATAAACAAGTAAAGTTCATTACAGATAACAAACGGAACGCAAAACGCTTTCTTAGGCTTGACAAAAGTCAATACAACTGAAACTTGTTCAGGTTTATCGTTGTAAGTATACACTGCCACCACGGCTTAACTTCTTAAATATTATCACCTCGAATATCGGTAAAGTGTGTACGCCACCTAATAATTTTTTATTAATTATATATGATGTGAAAACTACCTGAAATTGAGATTTTTTTGATACTTTCATATTACTACTTTCATCATATATAGGCTCATTATTATCGCTCAATTATAGATAAAAATGGATTTTCGTCATCTAAAATATTTTTCTGAACGCTTCTAATGTGAATAAGAAACAGACTTACGATGGAAAATATAACAAACAGATATTTTCTCAATGAATTCAGAAAGTTTCTCAATCCAAAAAGGTAACCAATACTCGTAAATTTTATCAAAGTAATTTAAATCAACATTTTTAACTATAATGAATGGAATAATTACCCTATATATGATTAAAAAATGTTGAAAGTAGTAGTAATAGAAATTATCAAATAAATCTCAATTTCTGGTTATTTTCACATAGCCAATAAAAATACATAAGAAAATTTAGGTAAATTAAAAATAGATCTCAAAATAAAAAAAACTCAATACTCATAATTAGGTTTTATAATCGTTACTAGCCCAATAGGTTTATTATAGCGAAAATTACTTTATGAAGGGATTGTTGAATGCAATCAGGCAGTTTAGTTCAAATTAATAAATTTTTTAGTGCTATGCTGTAAACGCTTAAATATTTAACCAACAAAACGTGATTATTTAGTGACGTGTTCTCATCTCAATGAAATAAAGCACATACATTACCCCTGCCAGATAAAAACGCATGTTCTAACCTACGTCGATGTTACGTATGTTTGCAAAAGCTATACTCATAAAGTAAAAATAACTGACTATCGTAATAATATACGTTTTTTACACTGGACGATTTTTATTATTTTTTATTTGGGAAAATATTTAAAATTTGTAAGAAAATATGTGAAGCAGATATATTCGACCAAAAATACAATCGAATAGCCTGAATATGAAATTAGGTCTGACGTAGTGTTAATTTATACAGTAGAATCGTTAATGAAAAATAAATATTTTCTAGAATATATGCATTGATTTCTATTTGAAATCCAAATTGTTGTTGCTCAAAAGTCGTAGATGCTTATAAAAAAACAAAAACAAATGAAAAGACTAATTTAATAAATTAATTTTTTTTTCTTTTAAAAGAAAATCCTACAGTTTTTTTTTGGGTACAAAGTATGTAGACCAACGGCCTACGTTACAAGGCATTCCAGCGTAAAATATCAAGTCAAAAGTAAGAGGAAAAGAATTCAGGAGGATTGAATGATTCCAATGAGGATGCTTCGATGATGCCCTCATAATTCTCGTAAACCAAGGAATAGTGGTGGGAGGGAGAGGAGAGGTGAAGGAAGTCTCGGAGGTCGGAGAAGGGCTAAAGTTATTAATAATTGAGAAGTTATTAACCATTTGATCCTTTAGTAGTATTGATATGAGGTCCATGAGAAAAGGGCCTTTTGCTGAAATCTTTATTATTTATTTATTATTATTGTTTTTTCCTAAGTCTTAATAATGGTTCTTATTGTGTTCAGTCGTTCCTTTTTATATAACTATTTCAAGACTATCCGAGATATTAAAGTAAGTGCCGTTTGAGTTATTACCAATTGGCACAATTAATAAACTCAATTGTTTAAATAACCATTATTATTTGCAACAACTGTCCATTTTGCACTGTACGAATAATTTAGTTTCATTAAAATAATTAATATTAATATGTTTTTACCCTCTCTTCAGATCTAAATCCATACCTGTGATTAAGTAAGTGTTTACTTAAAAAAAACCCTTTAATTTGGCTATTTCTAATGTTTATTTTAAAAAAATAAAAGATTGTAGGAATCATAAATTAACATATTGTATGCAAAGACCAGTTTTGGATCAGACAAGGACTAACTATGCAGAACATACAGTAGTGGAGAAAGTCCACAGTAAAGCCTGCTATATTTAGGTTGCAAATGATACCATTTCTCTTGGCCATTAAGTGTATGTTTGAGGTCTCTGTTTTAAGCATAAAGCAATTACAGATGGGGTAATCGTTTGCTCGTATATTCTCAAGCACAAGCTTAACTGACTTTCTCTCCAAGAAGGCAAGACAACTTCCATTTGCTTTTGTCGGAGAGCAGTAGGAGAACTAGATGAATGCTCAGTAAGATCTTATTGTACTCGGTAATGCTATTGAGAGGTTCTAAGTGATTGCAGCAATACCATAAAAAGAGTTGGTGCTTACAGGTATACTCTATTCATGGAACCGTTAATGGTTGAAGAAGACTGAGGAGCATCATTGCAGATTGTATTTATAGTCAAAACAAATTCATTCCATTCCACGATCTCGCTTCTATTAGTACAAAACCAGTAGTAAAGAACAACAAAAGAAATAATATCTTTCAGTTTTTCCTAGAACCATAAAAAGCAAAAACTTTTTTTTTTTCAATCTTTAACTATTCATAAATATTCCCTTTGTCTTGTCCAACCTAAGTTATCCCGTTTAGTTTGAACATAATTAGAAACTACACCGGATTTTCACAACGCATCACTGCAAAATTTATCAATCTCACTATTGGCAACTAAATAGATTTTTACATCTCCTGCCTCTGCCTTAAGCAGTCATAGGTGTTTAACTTATAACTTGTACTTTTGTTTCTACAGATATTTAAACGAAGTAAAAACCCGCTTTCGTATCATGCAGAATTTCACTTAATGATTCAAATAGATTTTTTTTTTTTTTTGTATCTGTCGAATTAAGGATATTTGAATTAGTATGCGTTTCATTGATAGAAGCATATTGTTGCATCGTTCTATGCTTCTATACTTTTTAGAGAGTAACCATGTATAAACTGACAGTCTCCATTTCTTAGCCGGAAGAGCATAACTTCTTTTCTCCTTGACATTCTGGAACTAGTGAGCTATTTACTCCAGTTAGGTCTAACTTCTGTTCTCACTCATTGCGTTTCTAATCTTCCTTCATTTCTGCTAGCTGTATTTTGTTTGTTTGGTGCCCCCAGTCTTCTAGGGTAGCATTTTTCAGTTCAGTCACCCTCGTTTCTTTTTTTTTTTTTTTTTTTTTAATTGAAGCTTTAATGTTATAAAAATTAAGGACCAGTGTGAATAAGTTTAAATGTAACTGTGAGTTTGTTCAAAAGCACTAATCTTCGAAAGTTCTCTACTGAGTGCTTTAAAATTTTAATACGACGTTCCAATCAACTTCAGGAATGTTTTTATATACATTCCATTACCATCCGGCCATTCGTTCCGAACTGGCGACCAAAAAACGTGTGTCGCTATAGGCTATTGCGCGAAAACGGCTGTAAAGATTCTAATGAAACTTCGTTAAGGCATTCTGCTTGAAGTCCTGTTAATTGACGTATATAATTTACTACGCCAAAAGAGGATGAAAAAAAAGTTAACGATGGATTCAGGATTTTATTAGCGATTAACTCAAAAAGTACACATCAAAATAAATTCTATTTACTATTTGGAAACAAAATTGAATATGGAAAATAAATTTTATATATAAGTTTTTAATAATTATTATGGTCGAATTTCAACTACTTGTAAATTATAGATTAATTAAAAATTGTGAATAATTAATTATGAATTTTCGTCTTTCTTCCCTTCTATCTTCCCTTATGAGAGAAGGTAGTACGTAGCTTTCACCTCGAATTTTGTACCGTTGGACTGAATCGAAAGCCATGTATACATCGGCGCAAGCATCCAAGACATGCCTTTCCTCCTTCGTTAGTGAAGAACTAATTGCCATTCGGAAAACGAAAATCCTGTCTTCGCGGTAGGTCCGCTAGGGAACTACCCGACACGTAGAGTTAGTTCCTTTGTTCTAGAGCGGGGTCAGGCTTCTCTTCAAGGTCTTACCTATGCAAGAGAAACTAAATCGTTTAGATCTCAGTATAATCTGTAGGGGGTAATTCATCGAAGAAATCGTACAAAACATATTAAATGGTACTCTCTATGTTCGCAGAAAATAGACAATATTGCCCTGTTAAATGAGAGCTTTGTTGCCGTTCGTCAGTAACGAATCTTCGTACCTTTATCCTTTGTCCCCACATTCCTTGAAAAGTTTATTAGAGTTTTGATATTAATTACATTAGAGTTTTGCTTATTAGGTAGTTATATATACAATCTCTTTTTAATTTTTTTAAGATAATGGGTCAGACGAAGAATGAGTTTAATTTAAGGTACGAAATAAGTTAAACAAAACAGATATAAAAGTTCACATGTTATTAGAAAATATTGGACAACTTTTTATAAACATTAAAAAGGCGGAAAACTTTTTAAAGAATTTAATATTCATTATTGGTGCTAAAAGGAGAAAAATGACTTATTAAAATAAGTTCATAACGAGCTAACATTAGTATTATAATTTCTTCTGAACTGATTATAAAAATGACTGTTTACAAGACTTATTTTCATTGGGATCGTAACCATTGAAAAAGCCTTGTAAAATTAGTAACCTGGCTGAGGAAAACAAATCACTTTATAGGAAATTAGTGTTTGAACTATCGATAATTTTCGACTGATTGATCAAGACGGAGATGGGAAGATGACATTAAATTTAATCTAGAGTTAGAATTTGTACGAATTAAGTAGAAAAACATCCAATTATTCACATCATCAGCATCGAACCTCTGATGACTATTATGTATTTACATTTACATTAACCCAGCAACAATTTAGTTATAAATGTACCAAAATAAAAAAGACCTGACAATCTTTTATAAATTTTCGAGTTGAGCATGTTTTAATTTTTGAAATATTCCATTCATTCGATTGTCACACGGTTCTCTCCACACTGATATCTTATCTATTGTCCCGTAATCTCGAGGAGATGTTAAATTAAAGAAAAAGCTTAAAGAATTTAAAAAGCTGTTTACGTGTTGTAATATATCTATATATTGCTATTATCACACTACATGCAATAAATGTTAACGGAAAAATGCAAAGTATCTATTATATGAGCTTGATATGTTTATCAATATTTAGTTGATCACAGGTGTGTTTTAAAGATTAAATTGTCAAGAATTAGAGTGCTACCATTGGGTAGTTACTCAGCAAGTGTATTCATGTCATTATATCAATTATGTCCAAATTTACTTGATGTATTTATGTAATACAGTTGTAAATGTCATAAAGAAATAAAAAAAAAAAAAAATTGTCAAGAAGTTCTGACATATTACCGTTTACTACAGTAACATTGGTAAATAGCAGTTTACTGAAACCGATGTGTAATTATTGCAAAAAGTGATTAAGTAACATTTTATAATATTAAATAAATAAGTGAACGGTCTCTCTAAGAAACCTAAAAATTGTGCACATGGTGCAACAATTTAAGAAAAAAATTACTTCAACTATACCAATTTTATCATATCTAACATTAAGAATATACTCAGTGACTTGTTGCAATAATCCTACGATATTATTATCCGTGATAATTCTTATATAATATTTAATATAAGTAAAATTTTGGCTGTATTCAGGATGGAAGTATTACTTTTTTTCACGAGTCATTTTTTAAATGTTTGTAATTTCAGTAAATAGTGAATTTATCACTTATAATGAAGTTTAATAATTTTTTTGGGGGGGTACTGAAGCTTTAAATGTATTCATGTTTTTGTATGTCTTGGTAAAAGTATATTATTTTTTAATTTTTTTAAGACCTTTTTGAAAAAATAAATTCTAAGGGCTGGCTATTTTAAGGTTATGAAATTATCTGAAATAAATAATTAAATAATACTGTTTTTCCAAGTTAGTTACGCCCGTTTTTATTATATCTAACATTTTCATAACAATTCCAAAATCAAACCGAGATGTCAAATCAAGTGATGTAAATTTTTATTGTGAGACAAACTTTTATTTGAGCCACCAGTTGACAGAATAACTAAATCCAATTTCAACATTTTTGAGTAAAGTCATTTTAGTGATATTTCTAGTTGCAAAATTTATAATATCTGTACACACAACGAGTAAGTTTATTCCAGAGTAGGTGATTGTAGTGTTGAAATATAGAACTGTGAATAAAAGTATACATTTTCTCACTAAAAATATCACTAAAATTAATAATCTAAAATGTTGAAATTGGAGTTCGTCATTCGATCAACTGAAAGACTCATTTTATGCAGTCTTTAAATTTTAAATCTTGATATCAAACAATTTATATTACGACAGCTATAAATATTATAGCTATCTGTTTAGTGGATAAAAAAGTAGTTTTAAGTTGCAACATGTAAATATTTCAAAAGAAAAGCAAATTTTCGGAAGCTTGCGAAAATGATTTTTCTTTATTTTTTAAGTATGTTGTTAGTGTTCTTATGTGATTGTTTGGTTTTGATAATCTAAAAAAAACATTATTCATCACGGATAATCTTTATAATTTTTATTTGTTACTGACCATTCACTAAATGATTTATTCATATATTCTAGATAAAGAATGTTGAAAGGTATTTTATTTTATTTTGTAATACTAGTAGAATGAGGATATATAGAAATACATCCAATTAAAATAATGAATACAAATTTCGAACGGTTTATTTATTTTTTGTCGTTACTTTGTCAATTAGTCATCGAAATGATGCATCAATAATTGGTTTTTGACATATTTAAGAAATAAATAGTGCAATATTGAAAAAAAAAAGTACAAGACAATGATTGTTGGGCGTACATATTTCTGATTTCTTTATCCTTTTAAGATTTATAAAAATTAAACTTCTAATGAACATTTTGCATATAGTCTTTCTTAGAATAAATTGTATACTATTTAATTAATATGTGTAAACATGTATAAACATCGGTAATAGGACATATGGTCAAATAAAAAATTATCTATTTCTGTTAAATAATATTTAATACAAAAAAATTTTAATGAATTTTTACTTATCATTCAAAATTTCAGCCCTTAGGCCATTTTTAAGAGAAGAAATCTTTTTTCAAATAAAAACGAAAATCACAGCCTTATTACATTTATTCATGAATTATTTTCATAACCCATCTCTTATTAAAAAAAAATGACAAGATATGAAATATATATAATGTTTCAATAGATTTGAGAAGTCCTCTGAATTTTCGTGCGTTAATAATTCATTTTATATTGTACTCAAATTGCCTCTTCCTTCACGAACCCCAATTAATTCAAAACACATTGTATGTCCAGTAAATAATTTGTAAGAACAGAAAGGTAAACAAAAAAATTATTAATGGACTGTTCTTCTGCATACTCGGTTGAAATTAAATTTTGCGTATTAGTGTATAAAAATGGGTTATTGAAAAATTTAAATATAAAGCAACCTAGAGAACCTTAGGCCAGTTGTAGCCATTTCCAATTAAATGAAAAATTAGCAGATCCAGACGTCTAAGAATAGCGGGAAGATAATGCCAAAGGCCTGCAGGGTATAAATAGTGACTGTTTTTTTTTTTTTTTTCTCGGCCGGTTTTTGTGTAAATATAGCCCCAAGAGGAAGTTGTGCCGTTCCAGATGTCTCCTTGCCCTTCACGCTAGCCTGCTCCTTACATCACACCTCCTCGTCCTCCTTCTCTCCTCCCCTCCCCCTTCGCAAATTGCTTTGATCCAAAGGAACAGAGGAGCTAATGACAACCAGGGCCGAAATATTGCCCCAGCAGTTCACCCTAGGGATGATGGAAAAATACCGGTTTCATCGTGTCAATAATTGTCAATATATCAATAATTTGTCCGATATTTTTTTATACTATGATAACTTATATTTTCCTCAAATAACATTAAACATGGAAAAAAACATAAAGAATGGAGGAAAAAATCTGGACTCTAGACAAAATATATATATATATATATATATATATATATATATATATATATATATATATATATATAGAGAGAGAGAGAGAGAGAGAGAGAGAGAGAGAGAGAGAGAGTGAGAGACAATATACAAGGTGTTTCAGTGTTATGTGGCCAAACTGCAAACTAAGGACATCAAAACAAAAAAAAAAAAAATTCCTCTGAAGGTATGTCCGCAAACGCTTTGTTTAGCAGATACTAACACCTAAAGATTTTCCTTGTTATGAATTATTTACTTTATATGAAATAGATTAACTTAACTTATTTATTCAAAAATATTACAATCTGTCTAAAATAAAAATAAAATATATAATATATGAAATAAATAAACCTATTTATTTGTTCTAATTACTTTATTAATTAAATGTAAACATTAACATTCATATTAAATGTTGTTCAAACTGAAGGTATGTCTGCAAACGCTTTGTTTATGGAATGGATTAGATAGAATACTAATATGGCCTTTTATCCTTAACTGTATAAAAACTATTGGCAACATAAGGATTAACACTATTTGGAATTGGAATTGGGAACTCTCAATAACATTATCAGTTTGTAAGAGGCTTTCGCAGAGTACTCATTAATACTAATGGTAAATATGCCTATATGGTGTTTGTATACGGTTTTTGCAATGTTAAGCCCGTCGTGAATATGCCAGGCGATTTTCGAATAAAAGATTACCAAAAAGTCAATCTTTAGTTGAGACGTCTAAGACGTGTTAACGTCTTAAAGAAACTGGTACATTTGCTATACTACAACGTCCTGATGATATTTTTGCCCCTTTACGAAATGAAGAAAGGAGTCACTTTGAACAATATTTAATATGAATTTAATGTTTATGTTTAATTATTAAAGTAGTTTAGTTGGAACAAAATCTCCTAAACAAAGCGTTTGCGGAAAAATCTTTATAGGATTTTTTTTTTCTTGTTCTGAGCTCCTTAATTCATATTTTCAGTTTGTTCACAGAAAAACCCTGTATATAGTAGACAATATAATAATGTCGGGAAATTGTTTATACACTATTCATAGGTACCGCAGGTATAATAATGAAATAAAGTTTTATATAATAATTTGTTCGTGTGAGGCAAAATTGTTTCAAATCACACAAAGAATCACACCGAATAATTTGAGCAATAAAACGTCAAATTCGGTTCAGCTGTTCGATAAAAAAATCATTACATTATTTGCATTAATTTTAATTTTTTTTTACCTTCCTAATAAACAAAAATAATTCATATTTTGGACATTCTTGGAGAAGTGTACTATATATTTCGTACAGTAGATATGCGTTATACTATCCTCATTCAGCTTTTGTTTGATCGTATATTTTTGTTGTTGTATTATTATACCTGGAATATCGAATGGTTGACTGATTGCTTATTTATAGCTTCTGATACATTTTATGGCTTTGCATTCGAATCATTCATCAATATCTTTGCTATGTTTGATGATAACAAAACAAGAATTCCACATACCAGGACTGAAACTGTCGTTGTGTGTGACTGGTGTCATGGAGCTAGGAAATGTTGAGTCATTGATAACATGTTGATGAGTTAAATGAAGGAATGAGCACTAGCCTATGCGTCATTCCGTCGACTGAATGACTATCAATTAATTCTACTAGCATCTAACTATATATTTTATATACTTCATGTATATTTTACATACTTCCATTAGTTTTTGTGCTGTTTTTGTCACGTTTAAATAATCTAACTTTTGTATAAGTTCCAAATAGGAAAAATAAATACTAAATAAAATAAATCAAATATATAGACACTAATGTTTTTACAAGATTATATTTATATTTAAGTAGTTGTACAATAGAAGTATTTTAATTTTGAACATTGATATTTTTATCTACCTCCGGTAATAGCAATTTAGGGATGGATATACAATATGTCAATGTTGCGAAAAGTAAATTTGAAGTATTTACTATTTTATTTTTTATTAACTTGAATATATTAGAGCAAAAATACAAAATAAAAAGATTCCATGGGATACCTCAGGGATACTTATGACAGCCAATTTCTTTTTTAGGAATTGTTATGGTTTTTCACCTATAACTCCGGAACAGTTCAATCAAACCTACAAAGCCACTATTTTGAAAATTGTCGAATGTTAAGTTTTGCATAAAGTTTGCACTAGAATCCAATAATTTAATTAAATAGAAAATAGTCAACAAATAATGGTTTTTATGAAGTTTTTCAAAAAAAGTATATTTATTTTCATAAACGATACTTCATTTGTAAAATGAGGTTTCTAAGAGAGAAAAATTATGCAATAAATGTTTAAAGAGACTTTAACGAAGAAGAAATATTCACAAGCCCATAATACATTAAATAACTAATATAATTTTTTTAAAATTTTTTATATAAATTTTAATACAGTTAAAATAAATAAATTTCATAAATTTTACTATTACTGAATGAATTCAATTCTAAATAACCTCAAGTTTATTAAAATAAATTTAACGGTAATAATGCTTTGGTGCTATTATTATCATTATTTAATGCTAAAAAAATAAAAAAGAGTTAATATTTAATTAATACTAGAATATTACTTAAGTGTCCATTTAGATATACCTAGAATTTTATAAAACAAATAAATAACACAAATCAAAGTTACCATCATATACAATACGCGAGTCAATTCTAATAAAGTGGATTTCAGGAAATATACAGGTATTAGTATGTAATGCGAATATTGTAGAATAGAGAATTAAAAACGATACCACAAATAGATTACTTCATTACTACCTCTAAATCTAACTATTGTATCTTATCTTAGTTAAATCTAAATACAATAATTGCATTTTTTGGCTTAAAAAAATTAATAACAAAATATAATTGTTTTTCACTTCAGTAAATAACATTTTTTTTCTGTTTTTTCAGGTAAGAACGAATCAAGAAATTTCTCTTTCCAACAACTCATATTGTCTTTCCTGCCGCTTATCTAACGTACAAGGTAAATATTTAAACAATTAATAATCTCCGAGATAAGATGAGAAAAGCACACAACACTTTATAAATTATTTAATTTATCTGACTGGAGACTCATTGTTGAAGAATGTTGTGAAATTTTCCCCCCAATAACATGTGAAAGAAATACGATTACTATTATAACTGCATTAATTTATTTTAAACATTATTTTATTTTTTGAATGAGTTGTTATGTGTTAAAGTTCTATAAATCACTTTCATAATGCATTATTCATTAATTGTAAATTACATTAACTTCACGCTTTTTAATTGGTTTGATATGCTTCAAACAGAATATTTTCAACAGAGAAAGTCACCACTAAATACCTATTTTTATTTTATATCTACATTTATAGCACTTTTCCTTCTCAAAACAGTTTTTGAATTATACAACTTTCGAAATAAACGTCTCGAATTATGATCTTATGGATGTAATTATTACCAATTACTGTAAATATAAATAATTAATTTTATAATTATTATACAAGTAGCCAGTATTAATAAGTAATCATAAAAGCCATAGTTTTAAAGTATTTTTTTTTAATTTAAATATTTATTTACACCTGTCAGTTTGTGTCGACATCAGCAAATGTGTTGAAATACGAGAAATAATGACATGTGAGACTTGGTTAAAGACTGTGCTCATCACTACCTCTTCATTGACTTTTTTGAATTACTTAGGTTGTTTAAGAAAGGAGATCTCTTATCCAACGCCTTTGTTACAAGGAATATTTTTTTAGTTTATAATGTATTAAGCAATATTTTAAAATTAATTAACCCAAATTTTCCGGATTAATATAAATTTATTGAAAACCTATTTATATATTTCCAACACCAAAAGGATTTTCAAGCATTAGGTTTTTGATATTATATAATTAAAAAAGGAAATAGCCGTTCTTATTTTATATTTTGATATATGATATTATTATTTTCTGTTGGAGGTTTTCCACGTGTGCATAACATAAATTTATTTCATATTAAGAAATACATATTTTTAATTGTATCATAATTAAAATTAAGTAACAAAATTTTAAAAAATGAATATTTCTTTTTATGAGTTCATTTTTTTTTTAAATAAAAAAGTATTGTTGCGATGTAACTGCTCAAAGCGATCGTATGTTAAAACATTTTAAGATTTTTTTTATTAGTACACAAACATAATATTAAATTTGCGATCTGCAAATTTTTTGGTAGCTTCACAACGTCCCATCACAAATCCAGGAAATAGACCAGTTCATCAGATCTCTTGGTGCGTTTAAGGTTTTCTGTCAGAATATTTATTTATGTTTAAGTGAGCCTTTGGTAAAAGTTATGGTAGTTTTCTTTTGCAGTGTCTAAAATGTTCAAGTCTTTATGTAATATATCGTTTGGAATTTTATATTGGAAAGACTGGATTTTTTTAATATTGGAAGTGTTATGGAATTTTATCTAGGTTACTTGACAGACGTTAAAAATTTTCTTTTACTAACAAACTAACTCTCTATAAAGTTTCACTTAAATTAATTAGGCATGCCCTTCAGTTTTCCTTGACAATACACAGATTCCACAGACAGACACCGTTCACTACCTTGGTCTGACATTTGACAGAAAAATGACGTGGAGCCCACATATAACCAAGAAACGAAAAACGCTAAATCAAAGATTAAGAATTCTGAACTCACTTCTTTCGAAAAATTCAAAATTAAAACTTGGACAGAAATTGAACACATACAATTACTTACTAAAACCTATTTGGACTTACGCATCACAAATATTTGGAACTGCTAAAAAGACTCACTTAAACAAACTTCAAATCTTTCAAGCAAAAACATTCAGGACAATCACAAAAGCACCTTGGTACGTTAGCAACATAAACTTACATACTGACCTCCATATGCCGACTGTTAACGAAACATACGAACTCATTACAAACGATTCCATGACAACTTACAAGGACATCCCAATACACTTATAAATGACATGGCCACTACGAATATGCCAGATAACGTCTGTAGGAGACTGAAGAGGAGCTGGATGAGGGACCTCCTCGCCTAACGTAGATATCACGCCGAGTGAGGTGCCGCTGGGCACTGATCCTCGTAATGCCTTTCATAACATTATTTTTTCCAATCAACCTCACATTCACTGGTTGTCATTACCATTATGACAGGTGTGAATAAAATAATCCAAAAAAAAAAAAACCAATTAGGACTTATGGGATAGAACTCTGTTTCTGCTAAAACTTCCGATATTAAGATTTTAAATTATTTAAAAATTAATTCCTCGAATTTGATTGTTGTTGATACATTACGATGATGTCAATTGGCCTTGATAATTTAAAATAAATGGATAATGAATTTTAAGTGTCTTTGGTTTTCCTTGTCTGAATAACAAGCCCGCGAAAATTATTTAAGCCCTTATTATTGAATGTTCTTTTTTTTGTCCTCTTCGCTTTTTTCTTTATAAGCTTCCTTGAAAATATATTTCAATTATTTTATTTTTAAGGGTTGAAATCAGAAAACGAGTGGTTGGTAAACCTTCTTCCAAATCCTAATCCTCTCTTCTTCCCAAATGGAAGGTACATGGTCAAGAAGGTTTCGAAGGATAAAAAAAAAAAAATTATGCCTTATCTTTCTACAAGAGAAAAAAAGAATAATCGGGTCAGGATTTGAAGTGCCCTCGGTGGAAATGTTTGCTCTCCTCCCGCTCTTTAGGTTTGAGAGGGGGAAAGGAGGGGGACTTTGAAGAAGTAGCTCCCTCCAGATTTGCATAATCCTTCGACGCCGGCCTGGAACTAATGGGGATAAAGGTTTTAACAGGTAATATAAACCTCCATTAATCACAGGCTCCAGTGGTAGCGATGTGAGGTGCGCATCCTCGCTTCGAAGGTTCAACTTCTGCTTTCCTCCGTTCCATCTCGAAAACCATCTGAGCCATTTGAAACAGTAGCTGCGTATGCTTATATATGGATCAATATAAGTATGTCTCCATGTCTGTTTCGTATTGGTTTATATAACAACATGTAACCAAAAGAATATAACAAAAAAGAAGTATCGATTTTATGAGAAGGAAATCGATTTTATGTTAGCATTTGCGAAGGCAGAAGAGAGTAAATAATTGAGGAGATAGACCTCAGCACATGCCAGCCATTCTGCGAACCAACAACCGATCGATACCACAATGCAGTTTCGTCCGAGGAAAAAAACCAAAACAAATGATAACGATTCTATCACTCTAACGCACCTGATATTACGATTAGAAATCATATTAAAGGAATGAAAATTTGAAAAACGTAAAAAAAAAAAAAAAATAAATAAGATTTTAGGACCACTATTGCCAGACCAGAATTTATTTTAGATTCTACATATTTAGAAAATGTCATCATAATATTCTTAAAATATCAGTATTTAATCCCATTCTTCTCAAAATTATAATATATTAATATATCAATTAGGAATACCGAACATACACAGGGTGGGTATATAATAGCTTTAACATAATAGCTTTAAAAAAACTCATATATTCTTGTCCGATTTCAAATTGTTATAATTTTATTGAATAATTACAAATAAACGATATTTCATACATGTATTAGCATTTCGGTATTGCAATTAAAATTTAGTTTACAACAGTTTACAAACAAAATTCAATCAGATTAGAACATATGTTAATTGTACCAATGATCATATTCCTATCTCTATTCAAGCAGCTGTATCTCTCCTATTTCAAAAACCATAAACAAATAAAATATTTCTAAATTCACTGTGTGAACAGTTGTTTGGTATTTTGTAAGGCATTAATAATACAAACTAAATAAAGAACGAGCTCACAGTGATGATGGCAATTAACGTATATTCTAATGTTATAGTAACTTGTTTACAATTTTTTGTAAATCATAATGATAACCAAAATACTAAAACGTATATTCAATATTGTTTATTTGTAAAAATATATTCATTTATAATTAGCCAAATAAAATTTAAATATTATGAAAATTGGATATGAGTATGTGATTCTTTCCTCGGTGCATCCATTTCTGGAGTTTGACCCGTTCCTCTCAACTCACCTTGTATATATAAATTACATATCAAGCAATTTCCAAGCCATGGCGATGCGGGATTTTTAAGCAGAGTTAAAGGTAAAAAAAAGCTAAACAGAATTTAAAACACTACAATAAAAACCAATCTGGAGATAAGATCAGCCTAAAATTGAGGAACATCGTCTGAGGTGGTTCGGAAATTTCTTAAGAATGTCTAGGCAGAGAGTAGCAAGTGCCACATTTGACGAAAATATATAAGGAGAAAGGAAGGAATCTAGGAAATCCTGGAGGAATATAGGAAGGAGATAAAGAGAAGCGGTTCAGGGAGAATTGTACCAGGCTCTACAATCGGGTCCCTCAGTGAGCCTGGATTAAGAAGAAAATACATAAACAAATTTTTACTGTCTACTTCTGCATTCACACCTGTCACAAATAAGTGTGAAGTAAGTAATATGGTAATAAATTGTGGTTATGACATTTCAGGTATGGAGCAGGGTAATATCCAGCTCCTTTTTAGTCGCTTCCTATTTGGGAAATCGTATATTAGTCTGGAGTCTCCATGAAGGGAATGGAGATTACGCCATTGTCGGTCGATAGTTGTTGGATATAATTCTGTAGAGTTTTATTATTTGTGTAAAAAGCAGCGCCAGCATATAGAGATTTGCTAGTCACGTACTATGCCTTCAAAGAGCACATGGGTTTATATGGGTTAAATTAAAATAAATTTGAGACTCCATTAAAGGTTACCGGTAGCACTTGTAAAACACAGGTTAATTTTTTTTGTTTACATTTTACTTTGATTTAATAGGTATAATTTATATTATTATAATTAATTTGAGTTCATTTTATGTGAGTTGTAGAACCGTAAAAGAAAGTATATCTGCTAAATAATGAACGGTTTCCTGGTTGGGATTCCAATTGGAAAAAGCAATGATACGGGGAGGCCTACGTGGGCTTAGAATCCTGTT